TAAAACAGGTACAATTCTAAAATCATTATGCAACAAATTTAAAATCACATTAAGAGCAGTAATTAAACAACATGTAGTTATATAAGCTTAGTCAACTAATATCTGGGGGAGTCTCAGTACGTTAAGTGGCAGTCAATCAAATCGTGAGAAAACCCTATACAACCGTAGCTTAAGCAGTTCATGTAAATATTCGTGGCATAGAGTCGTTACAACTGAGTGTCGTTACTGTAGTAGAGTCTCAAAGCTCGTGGTATAAAGGACATTGAATGTCTTTTGCTTTTACTTCTCATTGACTGATGCCGACTTCCCCTGCGGAGGTTGTAGTGACTGGCCAAGGGGGTAGTGATGAATCCCCAGAGGGGAGAAGTACTGTCCTTTAGGATACTTTCAAGTGTTCTCAGTGTAGCTCTCTCGCGCCTGTTTGCTAGGGTAGGGAGTGCGTCAGCAGGTAGCCCGATGATCCTGAGGCAGCGCTTCTGGATTGATTCTAGTGAGTCTGACAGGTGTTCAGGAAGTCCGCCCCAAACCGGGCTAGCATACTCAAGAATAGGCCTTATGAATGTCAGGTAGATCTGCATAAGGACATCTATCGGGAGCCCCGCCTTCTTAGCAACACTAAGGTAATACATTCTAGGTCGAGCTCTGATCATCATGTACTCAATATGGGCGTCCCACGTCAGGTCAGCAGCGATATAGACCCCGAGTAGTTTAAAAGAAGTGACTCTTTCGATCACCTGGCCTGATATTGTGGGTTGGGGAGGGATAGGTACATTGGGCTCTTTCCGTGCACTTATAACCATGTCTTTGGTTTTCTTCCCGTTTGCGGCAAGAGAAAAGGACCTGCCCCAGTCATCAATAGAGTTCAGTGCCTTTTGAGTCTGGCCGGGCAAAGACCCCATCAGTGCCTCAGAAGTTGTCAAGTCATCAGCATACTTTACAGGGGCGACAGATGCTGGTATACTGGCATCCAATGAATTGATGCATATTACGAACAGAAGAATTAGAATTTATGTAATTAGAAGTTACACACTTGTTTCAAATAATACCAAGTAAATGGTGGGTAAAATGCGGAATTTTTCTCACCTGATATTCCTCTTGAATCTTCAAATCATCTGATGTGGTCCAGGGTCAGACACCAGTCTTCACTACCGCATCAGCCATCATCTAAGCATACAGACATTATAAGTTGGACAATTGTCTCAAAATAAAAACTAGCAATGCACACACACACACACACACCTTAAATATCTTTACTTTAAAACAAACACATACCTTGACCAAAACTCTACATAATAACCATAAACACGGGGATAGAAACAACAATAAAATAAATCAACCGCCTTTGTGTGGAATACAAAAAAAAACTTGGCGCAAAATGTTTTGAAAACAGGAATTGCTACCTTCAAGCATAGTCATCTGTAGTGTTTGCGCCAGAAATACTTGGGCTTGGTCATTGCTATTTACTGAATTACTCTAAAATGGAAACGAACAAGCCGTATGAAATTGCCATTTTGAATTGACCATACCAAACTTATTTTTACACGGGTGTGCAGAACAGCCGTGCATAATATAATTTGTTGTTTATTTGCAAAATCATGCCCGAAGGCTAATTGCGTGTACAGTCAATTATACAGAAACAGGAGACAGGTAACAATCTGTAATAATTAACAGGTAACAATCTGTAATAATTAATCGGTAATAATTAATGTAAGTAAGTTGATAATCTAATTATGACGACAAATGACGGCAAGTTTCAGTGCTAGGCACTTATATGTGTCGAGGAAGGACAATTAGATTATCTTATTACGAAGGATACTAACGTTGATGTCAAATGGGTAAAAATGCAGCTACAGGGCACATTTAAATTAGTATTTCTATCATCACAAATAAACGTTTTCAAGAATAAGCTGTTCTGTGGCCACAGTATGAAACATAACACTCTTGCCCAATTTTCCTATTCATCTATTTTGGCGGTTTATTCCGTGGTACAATAAACACCTTCCACACACAGGTAAAACTGTCCTTGGTGCTGAACACCTTCCCCACACAGGCTAACCTGTCCTTGGTGCTGAACATCTTCCACACACAGGTAAACCTGTCCTTGGTGCTGAACACCTTCCACACACAGGCAAACCTGTCCTTGGTGCTGAACACTATAGCTGTCCACACACAGGTAAAGCGTATGTGTACATTTTGAAAATTGCAATTACTAGAAATCAGGGCTTGAAATAGATTTTTCTGCTAGGTTATAGAAATAATGATCGAAATTGTTGGTCTTAAATGATGATAAGAAATATGACAATAAGAAAGAAGCATTAGAATCACACACTGTTTTAATAAATCAAAAAAGGCAATTCAAATGTCAATCTGTGACAATAACAAGTATTCAAGTCTGTGCTTTAAATCAGCTACAGATACATTCATGTCGAAGGCTTCACACACAACTGCTAGAAAATGGCATTGTTATAAGGTAAAAAAAACAGTAAACAATTGTATAGAAAAAATGCTTACTACTTCAAAAACTTGACTATATGCATTTGCATCTAATTTTCTGCACTACACAATAATTACACAATTGATTCCTAAAAACAGTATGCTACTGCTATAATATGTTGTTTGACTACATTGTATTTTCAGAAATGGCTAGGAAAGGTGGAGGTCAATCATGATTAAGAAGATAGCAGGGAAAACAGTTTGATTTCAAATGATTTTGAAGATATACCCCATTGTCATACAGAGAAACAAAAGACAATTTTGCATGATTGTGCTCTCTTCAATAGGAAAATGTACTGTGTTCCTCACAGTATCTGGAATAAGACATTAGTTACAACCTTACCGATAAACTAGATATTAGTACAAGACTTAGTGTGAATTCTTTCAGAAATGACAACAAATAGCAGGTAAGGCCACTTTTAACAATGGTGTTTGGAATCAAGGAAGTTAAGATTGAAGCTCCCTGTTTGAACTGAAATTTCAGAGGATCAAAGACATGCCCTTTCCCAACATTTTTCATTGTCATTTTTGGGGATTTGCATGAAAGTTCCTGAGAAAGCTTTGTGCTTAATTCCCGGAAAACAGCGACCACGTGTTATGCTTCATATGCGCAGGCTAGACGTTTTACGCTTTATGCAAATATTATACTTAATGATCAATGACAAATTATAGCAGTGCAGCATCCGATTTCACAAAATCAAAATGTGTACTTATGCAAACAGTTGATTACGCCTTGCAGCATGCACATCCCCATTTTTTAAAGAGTTCTAGAAGTGAAAGCCAACTCACATTCAGGTCCGATGTTCTCTTGTCTCAAAGATACTTATGACAGATGGGTCCTCCAGGAATACAGACAGGTCCCACAGGAACAAAGACAAAGTCCTCCAGGAATATAGGCAGGTTCTCCAGGAATACGGACAGGTATACAGGATGGCCAACAGTTCCCACATGGTCAGGTGTGCAAAATCAGCTTCCCACAACCTATGGTACAAAAGAAAACTCTTTCACTCTTTCTTAAAATAACATTATATGTACTTTTTTTCTAAATAAACTGCATATGGTATTTTGTGGTTCAGCAATCCAAATCAGATTAATCAATAAACTCCACATACAAATATACCCAAAACAATACATCCGTTTTCATGGAAGTAGCAATAACTCTCATTTCACTAAGTAACAATACCTCTTGTTTCAGCGAGGTTATTAGTCAACTTTGTACACTAGACCCAACATGTAGTATTGTCACTACCAAATTACCTTGTTATAACACTTAACGTTACCTGTCAGACAAGGCAGGCCGCACAGGTTTAATTTAACATGTCTTCTGTATACCCCTCGACGTAACACACCAGCTTCGCAGGCAAGTGGCGAGGCGGCAGCTGGCTACATTACACAGAACGACTTGTTACTAATCTCAAAGCAGATCATACAGTGGCAAGGCAGTGTCCATAGGCCAGAGGAGTGTCCATTAGACACCTTCGGTGGCCGTTCAAACTCCTCTGGCTAATGGATACCAAGGGATCTGCTTGGAGATTACTTGTTACATCAAGCCTTTGAAAATCTTATCTAAATCTAAACGATGTTCGAAGTTACCTACTGATAATAGCGTTACCCCGACTGCACTTGGTGGCAACGTGTTCCACTCTACGATAGTTCTAGGAAAAAATGAACACCTCAATCCGTGGACAATTGGTTGAAAGGCTGGTACTTGAAGGCATGACTATTTCTTGTTCTTTTCTGTCATGGACTAGTTTTACACGGTGTAAATATACACGACAACCCCAACACCATCATTATTATATAATGCCCCATTTGTTTGGAAAGGTTCCGAAGTGATTTTAGTTCGGTATTAAACTGAGGTCCTCAATATTCAAGTCACTACCGAACTTCGTCGCACATGTCGAGGCCCTCCAGCGGCAGAAGAACCGTCGCCGCAAGTAACTTAAAACTATTGTGTTTCTGCCTCATTTCATTATAATTTGTTCATTTAAAATAGTCACAAGAATATAGAGGGCAATTTTAAGTAGCACTCACCACCTAAAACGGACATAGGGTGTCTTCCAAGGCGAATTTTAACCACCGAGTTCTGCCCCTTCCAGATACTCTCGCCATCTTGCAGCGGCGTGGTCCTACCACCTGTTCATGCGAGTCGCCAGAATTTGCATTTCTCTCAATTAACCTCTCATTGGTCGAACCGAAAATTGCCATGCTCTCATTGGTTGAACTGCTGATTGTGTTTACAGTCGAGGTGCAGGTGGTCTATCGGTCTCAAGTCTCAACTGTGTTGGCGATTGTACTACTGCACTAATATTTTTGGGCGCAACACGGCGCTTTTTATCCATGATGATTTTTATGCCAACTTCACTCGATTGTAAGGTTTTCTGCCTATTTCCTATAGAAAAGGTCCCTTTTCCGTAAGCTATTTTGATTTCAACTGTACTGACTGGTTTTGATGATTAATGTTAACATGAAGTTGAACCAACCAAGACATGACAGAAATCCAGTGTAATTGCCTCTACATTTTATTGACACAAGGATATGCTAAGAAATAATCATAATATGGTATTTTCTTTGCATTTGGCACGTTCACAATGTCAGTTTGCACATAAAGGATCTTCTAAGATTTAAATTTTCGCCTTGCGACATCATGTCCATACTCCTTGAATATACAATGTGTCTACAACGACTGAGAAAAAAAATACTACTTACAATGGCAATGAACCAAAAGCTATGATTCAATTGCTACATGTCATCATTTGTCTATCAAATAAAAAAAGACTATTCAATGCAGCTGTCTATACACACTATACATATTGAAAGAAATGTACTAAACTTGGCACAATTATATCAATGATTTATGGTATATTCAAAACAAATGTAAAGAAATTTGAGTAAAGAAACATAAAGCTTCTGAAGAACAGCTAAATAGCCAGAATATGAGATGAAACATGATTTTGGGAGGGAACAGAGTCAATACACACTGGTCGCTTCTTTCACTGCTACATGCATTTCTCATGCCACTCTATGTTACAATTGTTCAAGAAACAAAGAATACACTGTACCTATGAAGTTCAAAATTATATTGCAGGTCTGGGTTTATTAAAATCAGTTTCTATGTTCAAGTGTAAATGATTAACTTATTTTCCTTCAAAGACAAGTCCAATTATAATCTTTTTTTCCACTTATTGTTGAAGTATATGGCTTATATGCTTTCTGCCGACTTCTAGCCCATTCTTGTCCAGTTGCCCTGACCTCAACATCTGTGCAATGTATTAGATGGCAGGTAACCACCAAATGGAAAGTTTTAGTTCACATGACACTGTAGGTAACTATTGTTGCAGTAGCAACCAGACATGTATGAGCTAGACAGGTTGACAATAATTCTCTCTTTGCTTATATTTTCATCTGTTCATGGGAACCAAGTGGTCACAGTTTTGTACTGTTTCACTTTTTTTAGGATATAACGTTAAGTATCCAATATAAGACCAATACCGGTAAATACAGTTCCAAGTCATTTACAACACATGTCCTAGCTGAATATCTTAACCTTCTCTTTTACTTTCTTCTGGTATCAACCAAGACATATTTATTTCACAAATAAAACAAGCAGGGTGCCATTTAAACTACAGCACAAAACTTGGGGCTTAGTTGAGAGAAGTTGAATACTGACAACAAACGTAACAATCAAACCATTTGTTATGGGAGGTACACAAAGGCACAGACACAAGAGAATAATTGAAGTACAATTATAAGAAAACCGGTACATGTGTACAGCAACACATAAATTATGTATTAACTCAATTTCTATACAATATAAGTAGCACCAGCTGCTGGCATAGTGTTGGCAACTTGACTTAATAATACTGCGGTTGGTTATCAAGGGACAAAGTAGTAGACTAGTATTCGCTAAAATTTTCCACCATGATTGCAAAGTTATGTCAATACTATAGAATAATTTTACATCTTTTTGACTCTTGCTGCTGCCTCAGGGAAGGGTTTTCCATCTTTTCAGCATCTGGAAGAGAAAAACAAAGCAGATTTCAGAATTGTTTCTTACAATTTCTTCATTGACATGACTGCAGACTAATACAATGTACGTGTACTTCAATATACTTTCAGTTCAGCCAAAAATTTTCAGCCAAGCAAACAAACAGATAGCAAAATTAACACAATCCTACAAATTTCAAATTGCTTGACCTGGGATTATGAAACAGGATGACTCACTTGGACACTCTGACAATGTTGTTTCCATGTAATTTTTTGTCATCTTCTTTGCTGGACAGTGGCACCACGTCGACCTTCCCCTCAGCGATGCAGCGAGCTTGTTCAATGGAGGAGGCTTTTGGGCCGGCGGAGGAGTCAAACCTCCTGCTGAGTTGTGGCGAGTGGGAGGCATGCTGGCGAGCGACAGTCTGGGAAACCTCCTGCACAGTTCTCTTCGCTCGCGGGTTCAACCTACGCTGTGCATCAGCTTCCGCAACAGAGTTGTTCCCATCAGCCTTTGCTCCTTCCATCCCAGCATGCAATGTTGGACCAGAGTTCTTCCTCTTTGTTGAGGAGAGGATGGTTTGTTGGGCGATGCCACTGAGCGCGCTGGCAATGTTTGCCAGATGTTCCTTTGAGGCCGACAGTCCTTTTCTCAGTCCTCTTGTACCCTTTAGGCCATTCCGCCTTGGGTTGGAACTGCTGCTGTCGATACTGTCAATACTGCTCTCTGAACTTCTTTCCTCTGGGATCACCCGGGAGAGCTTTTTATTGGTGGCTTTTGCGGTGACCTCTCTTCTCGGAAACGTTGAAGATCGATCTTTCTCGTGGTCCCCTTTCTCTCCATTTTGTTGGCTAATGCACTGCTCGCTTTCCGAGATACTTCGTACAAAGGGAGAAAACTCCACCTTTCTCTGCCTGGAGCCTGGGGAAGGGTCGTTCTTTGTCTGAAACAGCCGGATGTTCTCGGTTACTTTGTCTGTGTGCCTCATGGCACTTGACTTGGTCTGCCCCTTCTTTTTCTCTTGGATCAAGTTTCCACTACTAAAGGCCATACTGAGGTTCTTGACCTGGCCCTGGTTGGCCAGTGTCTTCTCTTTCAGCGACGTTCCTCTGCGGTTCTTCCACTCATAATCAATAGCAGAATCACTCTGAGCCCCTGACAGGACTGCTGATTCTGACAGCTGCCTCTGAAGCAGCCGTATCTTGTTTGAACCAGACTGTCCAACTTTCCTCTTGGGCTCCCGTGTGCTAACCTTCTTGGTCGGCTCTCCTTGCACTTCACTTTTTGCTACAGACTTTTCTGCCTTTCTCTTGCCATTTCCTCTGCCGTTGTCAGCCTTAGGCACAAAGGCTGGTCCAAACGGCGCCTTGACCTGGTCAGATTCAGTGTTCTCCCGTACATACACCCTGATAAAGGGCACAGAAGGAGCCACACTTCCCTTACCATCATCTGTTACCTTCACTTCCATCTTTACCTTTTTCTTGCTAGGGGCGACTTTTTCTTGACTTTCAGGTTTGACCTCTGTAAGTGTTTCACTCATCATCTTGCGAGTTGTGTCCTGTTCCATGTCTTGTCTCAGACTTTCTGGTGTTGAATTCTCTTTTTCATCTTTGTTGTTAATCTCCTCTTTTTTCTCGTCCATCATGGCCATGTTGTACTCAGTAAACTCTTGAATTATTTCTTCAAACGTTGGGTCTTTGTCCTCTCCTACAGCAGACTGACTTTTGTCCGTACCAGTCTGTTCCTTTTCATTGGTTAAAGAAGCAGGAAGGGAGGATTCGTTTGTTGGGGACAGGGTCTGCTCTGTGACTGATTTGGGCTCAGAATGCAACACTACAGGGGTGACCTTGAAAGTTGGTGAGTTGAACTTGGGGAACTCTGGTTTCATGACAACTGTGCTGTAAGGCTTTACAGAACCTCTAGGAGGCGTCGCAAAGCAGCTTTCATTCTCTTTCGGGGAAGTGTTTTGACTTTTATCATCTAATTTGCAACAAATCCCAGCTGTTTTCTCTACACCTTCAGCATCTGCAGCCGTGGTACTGGGAACATCAGAGGACTCTTTCCGGGAGTCAGTAGTTTGAGTTGTATCATCAGCAGGTGGTGTAGTGTCCCCAGGCTGTCCTGTGGTATCACCGCTATCAGAATCTTCTGAGATGTGAAGATTCTGTTCTATAACGGTGCCTACCGAGTGTTCACCTGAGGAACTCAACTCATCAGAAGATGTCTCCCTTCCTTCTAATGAACTACCAGCCTCAGAATGAAGTTGTTTCTTTGATTCCTCCTGTGCTGTTTCAGATGGACGCATGACAGGGCTGTCACCATCCTCCTCCTGTTTGTCACTGTGGCTCAGTCCCTGAGGTCCAAGAAAGTGCTTAGAAGAGAGATGGGAGAAATCAGTGGCAAGGTCTGAATCCTGCGAGCTCATGCTTGACCTGGCATGGTCACTTCCATCCCCTCCTGCTTCTGTATCCAAAACTGAAGGAAACATTTCACTATTCAACACTTCATGTCCATCTCCTACTCCACTTGATGCTCCTCTGTCCATTTGAAGCCTTCCTTTGAGGTTGTCTGGTGAACTTGGGTCAGTTTCTGAATGTTTGGTAGCAGCTGCGCTTTCGCTGGCCGGACTGGTGCGTGTGAAGGTGCTGAACTTTGTCTCCACTGTGACCACTGGTGGAGTGTGAGGCTCTGTGATCTCCGTACTGTGTTCCTGGTCGATGGACAGCATCTCCTGTGTTTTCTCAATGAGCTTGATGGCTGACAGAAGACTGTCCTCTGCTGCTGATGTGGTTTCACATGATCTGTCTGATGTCAACTCCTTACCAGTATCTTTAGAATCCAAGATTGATTCTGTGTTACCATTGCTATCACCCACTTGGGATGGATCCATTGTTAATCCAACTGATGGTGATGTTTGTTTTAATAATGAAGATTTCTGCTCAGTGGGAATAGCTGCTAGGATTTCTGACAACAGACTTGTGTCCAGTGATGATGATGATGGAATATTGTCATCTGCTGCTGTTGTTGTACAGGGTGGTTCAAATTCTCGATCAGGAACCTTGTAGGTCGGGGCAAAGAAAAGGGTGGCATGATTATCAAGAGTTTGTACAAGTTTTGTATTCTTATCGCTGTTTCTATAACAAGATTTTTAGAAATGCAGCAATAGAAATACTAGTAGCTGAAGGCTACCAAATGGTTTGACCTATTATCTCAAATATTAAGAGCAAAACAGAAGAAATGGACAACAAGAAAGCTATCATGGTAGTCAGGAAATTTTGCACTGTTACAGATACAGGACTTACCACTGCATGTCTTTCCAAAGTGCTGCCTTCAGTGAGAGTTGTGGTTGTGCTGGAGGTGTAGGTTGTATCTACTGTGGTGGAGGTGTAAGTGGAATCCAGGGTGGTAGCAGTGTAGGCTGTATCCACGGTGCTTGAGGTGTAAGTGGAGTCCAAGGTGCTAGTGGCTGTCCCATCGACCGAGAACACAGAGTCTTTACCTGGGGGAGAAACCAAAGCATTAGCCGTTCCAGTTTCCAACAATATACTCTTGATGTGATCAGGGATTTTAGCAACATTTCAGAACTCAGAAATGATGTTACAAGCAAGAGAGGACTAAACAGAAATGCAACCATTTGGCGACATTGGCCCTTTCCACGGGATACAAAATACATGTACTGTATACATATAACTAAGAATGACACACACACTGTAGCGGACAGTCTCAGATCATGCATTGCAAAATTCATTCCTATTACTAGCATTCATGCAGGTACAAATGTACACAGACTCTGACACACCTAATAAATTCAGGACAACTCACTACAATAATACAACTTCAAAACACCTTGGCAGTGACTATGTGGCAAAGCGATCACACCAACCATCAAACAAGCATCTCATGTCTACATGAAGTACATTGTACCAGTTCCTACTGCATGTCATAGAACATGTACCTCTCAGTTCATACCCATATCACCAGGGAGGGCTGGGTTGTGTGCAGACTGCTCTATCACTAGAGGGGACAGGAATGTGGGGAGGGGGGTGGGGAAAGAGTGAGGTGTCAAGGTCAACAAGCAGCCATGTGATGCTGGGGAAAAGTATGTGATTTACAGAAGTATAATCACAATGACATATTTTTCAACAATACGTGCATTACAGGGAGCGACAGCACAAAGGCACACACAAAGCAAAGCAAAAACACAAGACCAATAAAACATAAAAACAAAATGTGGTCACCGAACAAAAGAAGAATGAAAGCAAAAGAAAGCCAAGCAAGACTGAAATGAAAAGAACTAAACTTAGTGGAGAAGATTAAGTCGTGTTGAAAGGTATGGGTCACCTATGGGTGAAAGGTGGTAACCTCTAGTGAAGTCAGGGCTGGGAGTAGAGGTTGAACTGAAGTAGCCCTTCTCACAACTGGAGTCACTCCCTCCTCCAAGACTACCCAGAGTCGACTGGCTCTTCTCAGAGCCAAACACATTCCCTCCTTCCAGGCTATCATAAGTCTGAGTGCTTTTATTTTTGGAAGTATAATTACCCTCCAAACTGGCGCTGGGGTGACATGATGATGTTGAGGGCTTTATGTTCTCAACCTGTATAGGGAAAAACAAAAGTTGTTACTGTACAACTCAAACCTTACGTATTTAATTGTTTCTCAGGATGTAACATCACTTTTCTAACTTACAGGCTGGAATTAAAGATATGATTCCTCAGGTCCCATTGAGGACTCGACACAAACACACAAATTATCAATTAATGTGACCAAAAACAATACTTCCGTGGACTGATTCGTCAGGTCCCATTGAGGACTTCACACAAACACACAAACAATCAATTAATGTGACCAGAAACAATACTTTGATCCCATTTTTCATCCCAGAAATAATAGGATGGAAGTAATGCATGACTTACACTGAGTGGGAACTCCAGGCCGGCATAGCTGGCACACCGTTTGATCTGTCCTGCGCGGTGGGCCTTCCTCAGGAAGCTGAGCTCCACGTTCTGCCGGTCTCTCTCCGCCCGCAGGATGGCCAGCGCCGCCTCCCGCTGCACCAGCCGCCACTCCATCTGACTGATGACCTTGTCACGGTGCAGCAGGGCCAGCTGCATCTGGTCAAGCTGGGAGAGATGGACTCGTCATTAGACCAACACTACAGACTAGACCAACAGTACTCAAAGCAAGACTTTCAGGTTCACATGGAATAGTCTCAAATCTTAATAGGATAAGTGAATTTTCATTGTGCTTGAAACATGAGGAAGGACAGCTAAAACTACACTTTTTGAATGTGTTATCTCAATTCTATGCATGGTACATCTTCAAAGTGTAGATACACAAGTATGACCTGTTCTTCTTCAATAAACAAAGAAAACTAACTGAAGTGAAAAAGTGACAATACTGCAACTAAGGACAACTAGGAGAAACATACTTTCCAATGAAGATTGATATGAGAAATACACACTGCAGCAAAGATGTGTCAGCCATCAAATATATGTACATGCAGCTCTGTGGTTGGTAATGCTACTGAGCACTGCATACAGGAGTGACTGTGTGCTCACCTTGGTCTGCAGCTCCAGGACAAACTCATGCACCTTCTCCAGGTCCTCCGCACCCTTCAGCTGCAGCAGGATGTCCGAGGCCACGGCTCCGCCTTGTTTGATTTTGTCGGAGGCCAGGCTGAGGTTCTGTTGTCGCAGGCTCTGGATCTCCTCCTGCAGCATGGCTGTGGCCTGCTGGTACTGGGCCTCATTCTGCAGCATGCTGGCCTAGGGGAGGGCAAAACAGGCAGTCAAATTGCAGTTCATACTCAACATGGTAGGAGTGCCACTGTAACAGGATCCACTGTAAGGTGTTAGTGTGTGTGTGTGTGTACATGTACATGTATGTGTGGTTTGCAGAATAGTTTTCAGGAACAAATGAAAGCGACTTGCAGTGAGAAAGACCTTGTTGGTACTTGAGGCATTACACTGCCCCACTACTTTCTTCATTACTTCCTGCCTCCTATGTTGAAATAAAAAAAAACATGCACACATACCTCTAGCACACCCTTCTCTGTCTGTAGCCTCTCAGTGTACAGCTCCAGCTGTTCTAGGTGGATCTTGAGGTCAGTAATGGCTGACTGAAGGCAGGACTCATTCAGGGTTGGTCCTGAGATAGGCCCTCCCAGGCTGCTGTTTTGCAGGGCCTTCCTGTAGTGTTCTGGCACACACAAACATGTACACATGTATATATATTAGTCAGAGAAATGTTCTTATTTTTCAGGTGATCAACAATCTCTTTGTATACTGGTATGTTTACATCTCAAATAAGTGTGTTCCTAAATGAGTGACTAGGGCATGGTATTGGAAGGCCCATCCCTCTCTTCACCGCCTTTTACCTCCCCAACCAAAGTCAGGTACCTACTTGACACCTTGCATGGATCAAACCCAGGAATACCATAGATTGAACTGGGACCTTTTGTGTCCACTAGCCTAGTCACTCTGCCAATAAAGTGAAATGAAAGACAAAGTGAAATGTCTTTCTATACTTGGTCTGCATATACATATATAGCAGCAGCAGCAGCAGACCTACCTAGTTGCATGCTGTGTTCCTCTCTCATGATCTTGAGTCTGCCGTGCAGATTCTCCATGTCACGTCGAGCGCCCTCTAGCTGCTGGTTCTTCCTGCGCAGCTCCGTGCACAGCTCCATGTTGTGCTGCAGGGCTCGGGACAGCCTCTCATGCACATCCACACCCTGGTCATCATCACTAAAACTGGGCAGGGGGAGAAACACTAATGTCAAGTACACAAATGCTTTACTACACTGTCTATATTTAATGTTATATAGTAGGGCTATATGTTCTGAATGTGATTGTTCTAAATTTTGAAGCTATCTTCATCCCTTCTAAACATTAATGTAAATCTGTAGGTACCAATTGTTTTGACTATATTGTATTGGATGTTTGCCTAAAGAAAGAATGCAGCTGAATGGTCCAACATAGAACTCAAATTTGAATACAATTGTTGGAAGTAGCATTCCAGAACTGTGAACTTGCGGAATAATATATAATGAACAGGAAACAGACATGTACCTATGGGTCCTTTGACCAACTTGAGGTGAACCTGGAGTATTGTACACAGATGTAAGATCCAATGGTATTGGCTGGCATGACTCCAGTCCTAGCGAACCCGGTGACATCTTTTTTGACTTATATTCCCTTCGCAAAACTGCATCTCTTAGTCGCCTCCAATGGATCTTGGGTGAGCTTTTCCCAGTGCTGTCATCACTCCCTCTTCTAAGCTGTGATATTTCAGGACTGCTGGCTGTTGTATCAGATGAACATTCCCCTCTGGAGGTCAAGCCAAGGGAAACATCTGGAAGGTTGGAAGTGTTTGGAACACTCTGCTGCCTTGGGTGAATAAACTGCCACTTGGTGGTCTTCTCAGAACGAAACAGTCTCTCGAACCTTGTCCTCTCCTTCTCTCTTCCAATTTTCTGCAGTTCTCTTTCCATTTTCTGTAATTCCTTTTCCTTCTCTCGTTCAATTCTCTGCTTCTCTTTCTCTCTCTCCTTCTCAATCTTCATCTTCTCTTTCTCAAATTTCAACCTTTCCTTCTCCAGCTTGGCTCTTTCCTTCTCTTCTTTCGTTCGTTCCTTCTTCTGTTTCCTGACCAACTCTGGACTTGCTGCTGGGGACACGTTTGTCAGCCTGATAGTTGAACAAAGTTAAGAGAAAAACACAGGTTGATTATTTAAAATAAAAGCAATGTTAAACAGGGCTGTCATATTAACATGAAGAATGTGAGATAATGATACATACAAGCAAAAAGAGCAATCACATTCCAGGTCAACAGTTTAAACAATTTTTCCTGGTAACTATGTTATACAAAACTAGACCATTCCTTCTCAATGTATGACTCTCTACATTCCCCTCTAAATCTAACAAGACTATTTTTGTTATTCCCCTCTGTGATCACTTCCCAACTTTCTTCCCTCAAGAAGACATCACGAATTCAATTCTTCCCACCTCTTCCTTTCCCAGTCTTGCAGTTTTTTTGGCGTAAGAGCTGCCGAAGCTCTTCTTCATGTCGTCCATGTTCATCATGTAGTCCCTGATGGAGCCGTGGGGGGTGGTGCTGGGGGTGGTGGTGGCAGAGGTGGACGTGCTGCTGTCTCCTGGAGTGGCTTCTAGAGAAAAACAATCATGGACGTGTAAGATACAGTAAAGCAGGTACGAGGGTCTACAAGGGGTGGATTCTGTAAGATCTGATATGGGATGTACGAGGGTCTATAAGGGGTGGATTCTGTAAGATCCAATACAGCTCTGCATGTGGGGGTGGTGGAGATCAAGCTTTACGGAAAATTAAGGACACTTAAGAGTAAATGAAGGAAGACAGCAACTCTAAACTGTAAATGAAGTTGTTCTTGTGTACAGCTTTGGAAATTACATCATTGGGTTTGTCTTTTGCATTCATGGGTATCTGGCTAAACTAGTCTGTGGACAACAGAAGCTCCATCATGAATTTTGGGCTAAACATCACTTGACTACACGATACTGAAAATTATTCAATAACGCTTTACAGTGATTTCGGGCTAACAAATATGTTCACACTGGCATCCCCTCTCCCTCTAACAAGGTGACACTTTGCACATGATACAGACTTCACAATGTTTGCACCCCTCTCTTTCTTAAGTTTAAACCTGACAAGATATTTTGATAAGGTCCTAGGCCTTATACTGTCTGAATATGGCTGTCTGAAGGAGGCTGTGGATTAAGACTTCACATCATCTTCGTATCTGCAGAGGTGAAAATGTGCTCTGACCCAGACATAGCTGACATGTCACCTTGCCAACCTTAATCTGTCATGGGGTTTTAGGGAGCACACCCCAGTTTATTTTGGGTCAGTTTATTTTGGTTCTCAATTCCAGGCTGCACGTCCTCAAATCTAGTGTTCTAAGGTAGCAGTGATAAGGCAATCAGTGCTTATGAGTTAGTAGTCAGGGACAAGTTATTTGGTGTAAATGCACCCAGCTATTACCGTGTGAGGGGAAGTTATTTTCAATTTCACCTGACAAGATGTACAAGCGAAGTGTGGCGTGCATGACGTCTGCATGGGATAGAGTGGGTTTTTAAAGAATTTTCCTCACAAACAGTCATTGTAACAGTGGCCCCCTATAGTCCCCATCTATTATCTATTAATAGTACTGCCAATGGCCAAGTCCTGAGATATTAAGATTACTTACATGCACTTTGAATACCCCACTCATGTNCCCTCTAACAAGGTGACACTTTGCACATGATACAGACTTCACAATGTTTGCACCCCTCTCTTTCTTAAGTTTAAACCTGACAAGATATTTTGATAAGGTCCTAGGCCTTATACTGTCTGAATATGGCTGTCTGAAGGAGGCTGTGGATTAAGACTTCACATCATCTTCGTATCTGCAGAGGTGAAAATGTGCTCTGACCCAGACATAGCTGACATGTCACCTTGCCAACCTTAATCTGTCATGGGGTTTTAGGGAGCACACCCCAGTTTATTTTGGGTCAGTTTATTTTGGGTCTCAATTCCAGACTGCATGTCCTCAAATCTAGTGTTCTAAGGTAGCAGTGATAAGGCAATCAGTGCTTATGTGTTAGTAGTCAGGGACAAGTTATTTGGTGTAAATGCACCCAGCTGTTACCGTGTGAGGGGAATTATTTTCAATTTCACCTGACAAGATGTACAAACGAAGTGTGGCGTGCATGACGTCTGTATAGGATAGAGTGGGTTTTTAAAGAATTTTCCTCACAAACAGTCATTGTAACAGTGGCCCCCTATAGTCCCCATCTATTAGTACTGCCAATGGCCAAGTCTTGAGATATTAAGATTACTTACATGCACTTTGAATACCCCACTCATGTTCTTTATGTGCAAAAGGAAATTTATTAGAGATAAATGTGATGATAATGGTTAAAACTACCGCTAAAGAAGATGATAAATATTTGAGGAAAAATGTTGATTGCATGAGGGTAGAACTGCATTCCTAGGTACTGTGTACATAGTGCCAGGTATAAAAGGCATGCCGATAAGCAGACAGGTTAGACCAGGCACCTGAGCTGTGAACAACTGCACACTCTTCTACTAACTTCCACCAAGTCCTCCAGATCCAAATATCCCGTACAGAGATCACTGCAATCAACTTCTTATTGCGGAAACGCACTTTTAAAACTTGTGACAGATTGTAGTTCCAAAGTTTTCGACATTGTTGTGCAGCCGAAATGTCAATCAAACTAGCGACAGTGTTCCTGGTCTCTGTCTCCATCTTCGCGTCCTTGTGCAGTGCCAAGCCTGCCCCAAGAGGTAAGTATATTCAACTCCTTACAAGACAGTTCCTATTCAGTGGTAGTTATGAAAAGCCAGCAAACTAAGGAGAGCTTTTTACAAAGCTTGAAAACAAATCATGGCAGAGCTAACTTCAACTCACTACTTGAGCTACTTGTGTATGTGTTGAAACTCTATCCATGGTTTAAAGAATATCCCACAAAATCAAGCATACAACAATCCATTGTAGATCCATCTTTTTTAGTTTGCTACGACAGACAGGAAATCTGCTCTCGCAAATGCTTTGTCACAAAAACCTATAGCAGGATCTACGTGCTCATGTCAAAAGTGGAGGGATCTAAAGTATCATAACTTAAACATGGTGTTACAAAGGTAGAAATGTCCGATGGTATCAAGATGTATTCAAACTGCTGCATGTACATGAAGCTATAACACCTCTAAAGTGCATCTTATAATCACAGCAAATGAAAAGAAACAAAAATGGTGTTCCCAGTTTCTTTTTGTTCTTGTTTGTATGTTTCCATGATGACATCAACTGATGCCATGGTTGTCATGGCATCATTTTCATGCACTAAAATATACTTTGAAGTTGTTGACACTGGGTGAGAGGTATTCAGAATAGATGAGTTGCAATCTGCAGCTGCTATTTAATCACAAGTCTTGATCAAATAAAGCGAGGAATAATGGTGTATAATTATAATCCCAGTTTATCATCTTGTCCCAAACAAGGTGAAATGTGATATTTCTTGTTATTTGGCGCACAATTTATACCTGGGCTGCAATGTTTATGCAGATCATTATTCACTTTATACAGGTAATTTCGAACAGTCAGGAAATTTTTCATTCTAGTAGATATCAAAGCGGTCCTTCGCCTTACATCCTGCTTATGTGGCTGAGCCATCTACGTCTGTTGCCCACTACAACCGTGGCAATGTTTTCTACAATTTCGAAGTGGACAAACAGATATAAAATATAAAACCCGTAATTCTATCCTTCAGTCCCACCCATCTGGAGCTGTGCCGGAGGCCATGGCCTGCACCCTGACCCTGATGACTGCGGCCGGTTTTACCAGTGCTCCCCGGGACATCGACCCTTCCACATGTCCTGTCCGGCCGGGCTGCACTTTGACCCGGACCTGCTAGTCTGCAACCGGCCTGGATCCCTGGCGACGCCGTGTGTCTCCCAACTGGGACAGACTGACGGTAAGTTCATACCTGCTCTGACCTGTCACCGCCATAAAGTCGTGCAGCAAAACATGTAACTATGTTACCAAAGTCAGCCACCAAGTTGCCCAGTACGAGTCATCATTGGAAAGTTTGTGTCCTTTCTGGCATCATGTACAGGCATTAAAAACTATGATGAGCACCCTGTCCGTGGTACTCAACAGCCATCTAATAGGACAAGATACAGCTTACAACAGTCCTGTCCTTGGTATTTTCCAGCCATCCAATGTGGCATCCCGGCTGTCCAGTCTAGAGTATATCAGAACCGGATTGTGGGCGGACACGAGGTGGTCCCCGGCAGCCAGCCCTGGGCAGTATCCTTCCAACACCCGCTCTACCCCCTGCCCAACTTTAACCTGTGTGGCGGTTCTCTCATCGCTCCCAACCTGGTGCTCACTGCAGCTAACTGTTTCAGACCGTAAGTATCAGTTATCCATTACCACTGAGGTGATGTGCAATGGCCATGTTTTCTGGGTCGACACGTATTTTCTATCCTCAACATGCAGTTGTCTCCTTAACCTCCAAAATGTGTTAAGAAATAACTCCCCATTTGCTTAGAACATCCAACATTGCTGAAAAACATTACATCTTATAAGATGTAATGTTTTTCAGCAATGAGGTTTGCTGTTTCACTACTATCCATTTTCCCCCTCCCAGCCTTAGCAAACCGCAGACTGGTTGGGTGGCCATTCTCGGCGAGCACAACTTGTACGAAGACGAGGGACGCGAGCAGCACATCACAGTACAGGACATCATCGTTCACGAGGACTTTGCCTACGACAGGGTCACCAACGACATTGCGCTGATCCGGTTGTCACAGCCCGCTGACATGAACGACTGGGTCTCCCCTATCTGCCTACCAGAGGGAGGAGAGAAAGTTGAACATAATACAATCTGCACTGCTGTTGGCTGGGGCTACACCAAACCACTGGCCTTTGAAGGTAATAACAACTGCACTACTTCAACCAAATCTACATTTCCACTCAACACAGAAAAGATTGACGGAATCTTTTTCGCATTAGATTGTACTGTGTGGATGGTATGAGTTATACAATGTGTGTGTTTCTTGTGTTGCTGTTTCTTTTCAATGTATCTCTTAATAATAGACAATTTTCTTCCCTACAGAATTCCAAACCGGAGACCTCCAGTCTCCCATCCTGCAGGAGATAGTGCTTCCCGTGGTGTCCAACATGAAATGCAACACAAAACTGCCTGACTACGACATCCAGCCAGAACAGATGTGTGCAGGGTATGAAGAGGGTGGCATTGACACCTGTGTGGTGAGCTGTTGTTACACCGTTGTCTTTACAAAAGCATAACTTCTAGAAATGTCTCTTGTCACGTGGTAATCAACATGAAGTCATGTGACAAGAGAACTCCAAGATGAGATCTTTACTAGGTTGATGAAGAGACAGAGTGTGTCTTGTAAGCTCCCCAGAGTAGCTACTACTACTATTTGTTGTGTGTATCATTTAAAATATTTGTCAAAAGATATATATTTTTTTCTTTTCTATTCATTGATAGCAACTTATATGACATTTTTTGTCTCATTTCTAGGGTGACAGTGGTGGCCCCCTGGCATGTAAAGACAGTAGCGGCAGAATGACCATCCAAGGCATCACCAGTTTCGGGGACAAAGGCACATGCGCCCAAACCGCCAAGCCGAGTGTCTACAGCAGGGTGTCTGCCTTCGTCTCCTGGATACGGGAACACGTGACTGACCAGGAATGGGCCACCATTGGTTCATATGTGTGACATCATGAGATTTAAAGGGCCTGCTCTCCCAACAACTATGTGTATTGTGCGATGGAACCTTTAGATCACTTCAATAGATGGCTTTAACCTCCTCCCTGTTAAAAACCTTTTAGCACTAAATGTGTATTGGTTACAGGATTAGGTGGCAGTGATAAGGCTTAGAGTTAATTGTCAGGGCTTGGTGGGACTAGCCTGGGTGCCATCCTATTTGTATGTCTAGTACCAGGGCTCACACATTCGCTCTCTAAAAAATAAAAACATGACAATAATGGGACGAAAAACGACTTGTTTCTTTTCAAGGAACCCATAGGCGGAGATAGTATTACATAATACCAATTTCATAAGGATAAAGTACTATACATTGTATGTGGGGCTGTAATGGTGATAGATAGAACACAGGGCGACAGTTCAGCCTCAGGGATCCTGACAAATTCATCTCTCCATATCACCAACTTGCCAGATACCAGCCTGTCCCTCAACACTGTCAGAGTACGCAAGGAAAGGAAATCCTTCACGTCTGTGTGTAGAAAACACTGAGGTCATGGCAGGAGTACGATGAGCAACGACAAACCTGCAGACTTGCTTACTCTACACCTGTCATGATCATTCCTGTGAACTTAGATGTTTCCAGACATTGTGATCCATAACAGAGCAGTACTGTTAGGGCAGGAGGAATGTTTGATGTGTCTGCCAGGGTGCCTCCTGAACCCAGGATGGCAACATGCCAATATCTGTCACACACTTCCCCTCTAAGGCCTCCGCCCAACTTCTTATCACCATCATACATAATAAGATTAAGAAACCATATCGCCATGGTTTCAGTACCTTGTACTGGCATTGATTACACCAAGAATAGGTTTTAAGGGTAATGTTTTCATGGTTGCGTTCTACTTTCCTTCAAAGTGTCTCCAAGCTCTGGAATCTCCAAGATGATAAACATCTGCTGAGGTTATGACTAACATGTGAATTCCAGGCAAATGTTGACGATAAAACTTGCTGCCAGCAGTATTGTATATTTTTTATAGATTCTCATCTTGTTTCACTTAAACGTTAAAGCCATTTTTCAAGATCTCTCACTACGACATGACAAGAAACCAAAACTACTGTTACACACTGTCTGTTTTTCTATGCCTCAACCCTGTTCAGGTAAGATGTCCCACTATGATAAGAACAATTCAGTGAATCTGTGACACCACCTATAACTTACCTCCTGTCTCAGTGTTCCCTTGCTGAGTGGTTACGTCCTTGGTGATGGCGTTGTTATCGGGCGTGACATGAAGGTTGGACGGCGGCGTGTCTGCCCTCTGGACTACGGTGCCGCTATCGTTGGCCTGCTGCGGGGGTGAAACGGTGCTGCTCGCATCTGGACACAGACAAGATAAACAACGGAGAGACATGGTAGTGCTGCTACACTGTGCAGGGCCACACTAGACTGGGACAAAGTAGCAACAGTCCGCTTCTTATATAGGGGAGAAATAGATGCCAATTAAGAAGTGCTCTTTGTGTGCCTGACCTAAACTCTAGAAGGTGGCAAAGCAGAATCAACCATTGTGAGGCCTGGTTGGAAAGGAGGCTGTGACGGAATGTGACATGTGTTGACTGTGATGTACATCTGCAGATGGAACCCATGGCAAAGTTTCAACAAGGAACCATTCATTGTTCACTTGGAAATATGCTAAGTAGGAAGGAACTCCATGAATACAAACCTCTGCCACAGAGTGAAAAAAAAATATACATATAAGTATAAAAAAGCCATTAACACATATTAAATGTAGTTTGACTCTTAAACAAAGCTTGACCCTTAAACAAAGCTCCTTATCTGTCTATGAAATAAATAGAAAACTTTTATAAGTGGTTTACTGTTGGAGACACACTTCCTGTTATCAAGTTACCTGGGGTCATCTCTCTATAGGCCTTCATCATCCATTATTTTCCAATTATTGAAAATTCTCCATTAATTACTCACCATTTTTCCCCTAGGGCAGCATTAGAAGAAAAAATCAGAGAAATTAGAATCGTGACTACATTGTACCTCTATTTTTCTGAAACAAGCTCCTAAATCTCTTGAAGTTGAAATTCAAAGGTGAGTAGGGCACTTATTCGAAGGATGCCCTGGGTTTCTAGTGATCACTAGCCAGCCAGAAACAGCCTGGAAAAGACTTATCAGTTCAAATGTATTGAGAAGACACTGACTGACATACTGTACCCAAGGCCTCAGGCTATCCAGGTGTGACATCAAAGAGCACTGACACTATGGAAAAACCTACTTCCTGACCATTTCACTTAATACAGTTTACAGTTCTAGTGTGTGAGGCCCTGGAATGGGTGCCATCTCTCACCAGGAATGGACTACAATGAAGTTCATGTCTCCCCCAGGAGACATCTCGCTCCTGTCTCTAATGAGGCAGTACATCAGCTGCTGACACACAGTCATCCGACCTTGTCAACAGAGGTCACCACAGTCTGGCTCTGTGCAGTTGCACTTGGCAGCTGATGGCTGTGCAAGTCAGTAACTATCAATCAGAAAACTAAGACAGAAACCTTTCCTGCTCTTTTTTTGGGCCCGACAAAAAAGGATTCCTTACTGGGTTAATTTTTTTGTAGACTGAGTGAAGCAACAGGCTTGGTAGTTTAAAACTCAATTTCTGTTCTGTTAGTGAGCATTTTCCTTCCATATTGGTGTAAGACTGAACTACCACAGCAGTCAAATGAATACATACTGTACATTTTCATTCACAAATGTTGTTATATAAATATTGGCTGTGGGGTCTAGACCTGTTACAGTGCAGCTAATAGTAATACTTAGATGGATTTCAGGCTGCCAAAATTGGTCGGTCTGTTGCCAACTCTCAAAAAATCAACAGAAGTGAAACATGCAAGATCATGGCTGACATTCTGAACACATGAGGGAGAATGTGATTTATTCCCAGGCCAAGTCTGCTGAGACGTATTACTGTCAATGTGACCTTGGAGGTAATGAATTTTCCTGCATGCTGAAAACCAACTATGCTGTCTCATCTGAGTCAGAAGTTATCACAATTGTAATCAATATCCTTTTTGGAAAATATAACTCTTTCCAAACAAGTCCATCAAAACCTGTTGGTGCTCACCTTTTTCTGCTAACAAGACAGAAGCACAAATATTCACATCATCGTCACACTGGGGACCTGATGTCTCAATAACCGCATGCATGCAGGTCTATTTTGATTAGCGTGTCAGGGTGCCTAAACTCCTTTCCAGGTTGCCAACAGTTTTCGGTTCCTGCCATTTTTGCCTTGATCTTTGTTAACCTTCCGAAATCTCGAGTTTCAGGTCTGAATTCCTGCTCGAAATACTTGGACCCTTTCAGGGATTGCCAGCCTTCTGGGGAGACAAAATAACAGCACAGGTCGTACATACCTGGTTTCCTGGGGAGTTGGGAGGCCCAGACCTGACCAAGAGGGAGTTTCCTTGGTAATTTCAACACTACATAGCTGGAATCCTTTGATTTTGTTTTCTGCCACCCACATGCTAGAACACCAGCTTGGATAATCATGTGACTCTATCCAATGTTGACAAAAGGAAGGCCTAAAGAAACATCATGTGTAAATCTGAACACAACACCTTAAAACTGTATACATAGTATACATACTTTCTCACTTGTACTATAGTGCTTGTTGTTCTCTCTGAGAAATAAAATTTAGCCTTAATTCCCTAATATCAGGGTCAAATATACACATTTGCTAGAAATTCGTAGTATCTTTTTCCATGCAATTTCTTATCTTCTTTCCTAAATAGGAAAAAATCTACATTATACTAGCAAACAATGTTTGATCATTTACTGTCGGAATTTAGGTCCATTCAGCATTCAAAGAAATTGGACTCTGCTCAGTGACAAATAAAGAATTTTTGTGAAATCTTTTACTAAAATGCTGTTTAGCATCAAGGGTATAGAAACCAAGCAGTTAGTCTGAGTCTGCCACTGGGCAGCTGTCTGGTCCAAACAGGGCTTGTAGTCACATATTTCACACTTGTGTAAGACTATTTCTGTCTACAAAACTTTCACGTCTGTCTCTACATGTATGTCTGGGGCTTTCATGCACAGAAAACTGAGCTTCAAAGTCAGTGAACTTTTGACAGGCAAGGCACAAAGGGCAACTACATGTAGGAATGAATGAATGTTGACAATATTTTTCAAAAGAAATAATCATACACTCATACATTGCTGTGTAAGCATATCAACAACTTATCATAAAACATCTGGCCCCTAAAACTTTTGAAACTCCATAATATTTTGCTGCTTTTGACAAGAAAATGCCAGCCAATTCAAAGTGTTAAAGAAACAATAATTTGAAAATTGCATGAATATACATGTAAATTCTAAATTTTTGAGAAGAGTTAGCTTTATAACCCAGCTAGATCACCCAATGATCCCTATTCAAAGCTAAGGAAGCCTCTGTAGATACATGAGAAGCTAACTGTTATGTCAAGTGGTAAATATTATGATAACGGAGGATGCCAGATTTCTCAGATCGTGCATGTGTCTGGTGCATATGTCTCGCCGGTTGCAAGAGTTTGGTTCACCACTAGGTCATTTCCTCTCACCAGTTGAAGTCACCACCTTGGAATCTTGTGGCCCAATGCCACACATCTTACCAAGTGTTGAAACACACACAGTTAGGCAAATGTTTTCCTTTCACCAGCCTTCCTTTCACCACCATTTCATTACACAGGACTTAATCTTCTTCTTGAGTTGACCTCCAAGTAGAATAATGAATTTTTGATATAGTTGCCAGTGCAGTTTAGCTTCACTAGGGCTGTGGCTAGGGAAAGTTTCAGGAAATATCTGCTTTCTGCATCTCATTTCTGGATCCTACTGATACCTATATTTTCTATTCATAACATTGTACTGTACAAGAACTTGTGAAAAAAGTATTTTTGCAGTTTAACTGTAACCCATCGAAATATTTCTGCAGTTTAACAATGATCTAAAAGAGAGCGCTTTTCTGCTACATGGTAAATACAGTGTATGTGATTATGAAGGAAAGAAAGTATGCAATCTTGGCAGAGGCTTGTGCTCTCTGAGTGCTGACAAGTTGTTATTGTCCACCGCACACTTGTAAACCTGCTAACCACATACAGCAGTTGGCCTAGCCATGACGTGCTTGTCTATGTAAATATTAGGGCACCCTCCCACTTTCCTTAGCACTTCCCCTTTGAGGAAACAGTTTTGTGTGCCTAGAAAAATTTGACTAAGGTTTTCGGAATGTTATGTCTCCAACACACTTCCTTAAAGTTCAAGAAGCACAAACAAAAGAGGTAATAATATCAAACATCTTTCATTTCCCGATACAGAACTTTAGATATCACAGTATATATTTTTCCAGTTCTCCTGAATCATAAGTTTGATAATAATACAAATCAAGTATAATTAATTTATCATCCCAAAATATATGTACAGCTGAAAAGTTCTTGAACACAAGCTTACCTTTTGTATCTGTCCCCTCTGGTTTCTGCCACCTTTCTTCCCATTGTTGCATCTTCCTGCTGAACTCCTCTGACATACCTGGACTCAATTTGTCATTTTCTGTTAGTGCTTTTGCAGAGTCCTCCGTGGCTTCCTTAGATGTTGCACCATCTTCCTTGTTTTTTAATGATTCCTTCACTGCTTCTTGAGTTTTGGACTGGTCTCTATCTTGAAAGTCACCTTTGCTTTTGCGAATATTCCCCTTAGCTGGAGTTTTCTCTTGTGGTAAAATGACAGGTGAAGTGTCATGTTTTTTACCATCAAGTTCAATATCATCTTTAGAGTAGGTTTTTCTGAACTTTCCAGGACTTGGAGTTTCACTGTGCCACCGGTCTCCAGGGTTGTACATAGAACGAGACCTAGCCTGACGTACTTTTAAGTCCCTTCGCCTCATTAACACAGACCTTGATCTTCCATCTTTTGGGGTGTCGGGGGTATTACCTCCCTCTGCACCCTCCTTTCGCTGCCGTCTCTTGATGCTTTCCTTTCTCTGAAGCAGTGCACTTCGCACCTTACCCCAGGGGGATGTCTTCCTTTGCCTGACGTCTTCTCTTAGATCTCCACCTGCACTGCCATCACCATCAGGGTAGTCTTGGCCCCCAGTTGCAGAAGACATGGTCAATGTTTCTAAGACTTCGGCACTTGCCTCGGGCTGAGGCAGGGACACACGACCAAGTTTACGCCTCCTTTCTGGAGTGGAGACAGTATTCTCACCAGATTCGGAGGGCTTTGCTTCCTGCACCTGCACTGGACTAGCAGCCTTGTTCAACTCAAACTTCTTCTTACGCAGAGGATCGGTGTGTACTGTCACCGAGGTGTTGTTTACAGACAGTAGTTGCCTATGCCGTTCCGCAGTGCCATGTGCAGAGGCATCATCAGACAGATGTGCACATCCACTGTCCACAGACTTTGTATCGGAAACCTCTCCGGACGGACTCTCGCGTTGTCTAATCTTCTCTGGCCTAGAGACCCGTCGTCTATTGTCTAACTGCTTTTCATGCTCACTCTCACTCTCACCTTTGTCGCTACTCTTGTCGGGTACAAAAACAGACCTTCTGTTCTGGACAGCTCCCTTTAGCTTGTCCCATCGCTCTTTCAGGCCCTTCATTCCCATTTCCCCCAACCTCAGCTCACGAAATGCCTCCCGATCTAGTACAACACCAACAGACTTGCTTCTCTCCCTCTTCTTGGCATTTCTGATATAGCCCAACTTCCGTCTGGTCGGCCCATCTTCTCTGGCCCTCTTCTCTTCTCTTGCTAACAGTTTATTCTCCTCTGTGTTGGAGGACGTCTGTGGATCAGACTGTTTGGACTTGGAAACGTTGGAGCCCTCTGGCTTAGTCTGGATGTTTATTTTCTTTACAGATGGTTTAGGCCGCCGTGCCCCACACTGACAGGTTAGAGCCAGAACCTCACTTCTCATTTTATACATACGGTTCATGTCCTCAAGGAAGGAAATCCTTTTCTTCAGCTTACCATTCTGCTCTTTGATAACCGCAATCTGCTCCATAATCTTGATAAGTTGTTCTAGGTGACCCAAGGCGTAACTCTGCTGCTGAGCTGAGCTGACAGTTTTCGACCTCCCCGACTTAGCTTTCTTTCGGCTAAGTCTCGACATCCGCTGGTGTGATCGCGACATCTCCTCCATATACGTCTCAAACGACACTGAAAACTTGTCAACATCAACATCCTCTGTAGCATTATCCTCTGCTGTTGACGGTTCGTCGCCTGTCGCCACCCCATCTCCGCCGGCATCAGACCCTCCCTCCGTATCCTCTGATCTCATCTCAGCTATTTTGGCTGCAAACTTTGACTCTGGCAAACTGTGGCTCTTCAACAGCACCTTCTTCCCGGCTTTGGGGCTTTTCCCCTCCATGTTTCCTGGAAAACAAACCACAGGGGTGTTACTGTTTGATCCTTGGACAAACTGTCTACTTCTTCTGCCTCTGCAAATGCCTGCCTGTTTGAAAAGGTTAAGTGAGGGCTATGTACTCTAAAAGTACATAATTCCGTACATAATTCACTTATTCCTGCACTCAGGACTGGCAAACATGGAAATTTTGTAATCTGCAATTCTGTTGCACAGAATCCACAGTTCTTTGCAGAGCTGTAGGTCCTGTAATGAAGGTCTCCGGGTAAACATGGCACACATTTCCTCCTTCATCAAGCTGTGATGGTCAATATTAGCACAACCTTCAAGAGAGGAATAACCAAAATGTTTCTGAGAGAGGCTAAGGAGGATGACAGTTTGTCTTGGCTTTAGGAGATGGTTACTTTGGAACAAGCATCCACGTATACACGATCTAGTTAAAGGTTATACCAGTATATGAGTAACTCGTCAAATGACACATAAATATAACAGAGATAGTTTGGGGCTGTACATAATCAAATAGTCTACTTTCCTGTCTTGACCAGAGCTGTCTGGATAAAAGACTGATGATTCAGAACATCATGAGGTGTCAGAAGAACTTTAGACATTACACATATTACATTGCTACTGAATGACATCATTAATAAAAAATTACATTGACACACATTGGGCTAGTGTCCCAGGTACATGCACCTTTGTACTAGCAGGTAAATTACTTGCTGTGCTTGTGGACACTTAAGTCAAAATAGATACTCAGGATATGGTTGAACTGGTACAGGGATTACTTACACACTACACCAGGTGTATACATGTACCAGGTAATCTTTGTTTAGCCTTCAGCAGACCAATTTGTGATCCAATGGCCAGTAAAGAGGGTGGACTTTGCAACAGTCTTCATATCAAACTTCTTTCAGTTCCAAACAAGCGGATACTTTGTGTTCAAGGATCAGAAATATATCCTAGTACACTCTGACACATAGTGTACTATCCCTATACAATGATTCTGCCTGCAAATGCTTGGCCAAATCTATCTAAGCTTGTTCTATTGTGTGATGCAAAGAAAAAGTTAAACTTTGCACAGTCAAACTCCGAAGCTACAATATGGTTCTGTACAATCTGACTGAGAAAACACAACAGGAACTCTAAACAGTTGCACCGCATTCCTGCTACCTGGCTACAGCTAATTTCTAGGGCAGGAGTTATCCACAGTTGAGTGTGTGACCCTGTCCTTAATGTTTACATTTACCTCATCGTTACTAACAGCAGTTATCACAGTCTATTGTATATCATAGAGTCATTGAGAAAAACAAGAGCAAGGAAATGTTACTCATGTAGGGAAAAAATGACATCTGTACCTTTAGAATATATCCTGTGCACTCCTGGGCAGAGGGCAGGGCCAAATGAGAGCAGGGTGTGAGTAAACAGGCCCATGTGGTATTAATAGGTTTGTTTGTTGAGACACAAAACCTACTGGTCAGCAGATCCCACTCCCGCACTGGTTGACCTACTCCTACACTGACCACTTCTACTGGGTATATACTGCAATAGCAATAATGTATATGTATACTAGAACTTCTATGTGTAGCCATAGTATAGAAAGGATAAAGCAAAGAAATCACAAACAAGCGCAAGCAGCATATACATGTAAAAAAGCCAGCAAATGGGTCATTCAAAGTGCTTATTATAAGCTCTGTGAGTCCCAGACATTGCATTGTATAATATATTAGCGCATTC